ACCAGTAGCGACAACAGAGAACTTGACGACCAACGTGTTAGTAGACACCAGTAGCGACAACAGAGAACTTGACCACCAACGTGTTAGTAGACACCAGTAGCGACAACAGAGAACTTGACCAACGTGTTAGTAGACACCAGTAGTGACAACAGAGAACTTGACGACCAACGTGTTAGTAGACACCAGTAGTGACAACAGAGAACTTGACGACCAACGTGTTAGTCTACACCAGTAGCGACAACAGAGAACTTGACCACCAACGTGTTAGTCTACACCAGTAGCGACAACAGAGAACTTGACCACCAACGTGTTAGTCTACACCAGTAGTGATAACAGCCCGGTCGAGTCGTGAGATTCCGCCGTACATCCGCGGGGCGTGCACGCCACACAGACTTGGCTTTCAAGGGTGACGCAACTTATTAAAGGGCGGCATTTATTTAACGGTGGTGCAATAACTACGGGTTAACTTGCCTTGTCCGACACTCTCCACCCCTCCCCCCGCAACTCCTTATGCAATCATCAGTGCAACGAATGCTGTCAATGCACGTCGCGCGGGGCGAGGACGTGAATACACGCGCTTGGCAAACACAGCAGTGGCGGGGATTATTGTGAATAGCTATTCGGAAGGGACAACTCATTTTGCTGTATTGGCACGGCTGGCACCACGAGTGTGTGTCTGTGTGTAGCCGGAGAGAACGGAGCCGGGGGATGGAGTGAGCGGCGTCAGGGGGTCCGAGGATGGGGCCCCTTGTGGAACACCGCAACGTGGACGCGGGCAGTGCCGGATTATGCGAGTAGCAAAAGTAGTTGCTTATGTAGCTGCTACATATGGAGCTGCTACATATGCAGCTGAAGCAGCTGCTACATATGCAGCTGAAGCAGCTGCTACTTAAGCAGCTGCTACATATGCAGCTGCTACTTATGCAGCTGCTACATATGCAGCTGCTACATAAGCAGCTGCTACATATGCAGCTGCTACATAAGCAGCTGCTACATATGCAGCTGCTACATAAGCAGCTGCTACATAAGCAGCTGCTACATATGCAGCTGCTACTTATGCAGCTGCTACATAAGCAGCTGCTACATATGCAGCTGCTACATAAGTAGCTGCTACATAAGTAGCTACTACACATGTAGCAGCTGCTACATATGCAGCTGCTACATATGCAGCTGCTACTTATGCAGCTGCTACACATGCAGCTGCTACACATGCAGCTGCTACACATGCAGCTGCTACACAAGCAGCTGCTACACATGCAGCTGCTACATAAGCAGCAGCTACTACATAAGTAGCTGCTACATATGTAGTAGCTTCGGGCCCCCGCACTTTCAAGGGCCCCGCGCTAAACGCTTTCAAGCTATCAACTCCGGTTCAGTAATTCTGCACTTGCTCTACTACTATAGTACTATACCGCCTTCAACTTTCACGATCGACTGGCTGTTTAAGGTTAGCGATTTGTCGTATTATCTGTCCGTATGGAAAATGAGAGAATACAATTACTTTACTGTGCAAGTTAAACAATGTACTTGTTTTAATAGTTACGTTTTTTTAGTTTTTAACTCAGGGTCCCTTGATGACATATTCTACAGGCCCAGCAACTAGCTTCATCCGGCACTAGCACGTGCGACTCCGAAGGCGCGTGCGGTTTCCTGACGGGTCGCTTCATGCCGCGCGTTATTCACGTGGCATTGCGGCTCTGGAAATACCCAGTTGTTTTTACCGAATTCGACAACTAACAAAAACGTCTCTTCTCGTGAATTTTCTTTTGGTTGCCCGAACACTGAGCTGAGACGGTTCCTTATTACGGAAACACACTTTGACACTGGCAAGAAAGGTATCCCCGTGATAAAGCTGCTCACGCCGAGCTGTAAATGTTCTGGCAACGTGGATTGTCTTTGCACCGTTCGCCTTTTGGCGTTCACTGGTTGAGACTAGGCTATGAAGAAAGCTGTCTCTGGTGTAGGGCAATCAGTGTCAAAGACAAATGCATCGTATTGTCACAGCAAGTTTGCTTGCATGTTCACGACAAGTACTGTATGAGGTTAATGCAGGACTTGATTCCTAGCAAAATGTTTCTATTTGGCGTTTGAACATCTTAGCACCTTTCTAGATTTGAAGCTTTCGTGACTGCAAGGATTCATACTTTTTTCCGGTAAAGTCACGTGGGTAAAATAAAATAGAACAATTAAATCACGACGTTTCGGAGGCAACACAAGCTTCCGTCTTCAGGTGGAAACAGTCACAGCAGAATATCTGTGTCAAGTGTGTCAAAAACTAAAAAGTATTAATCTTAGCGCCTGTTTCATTGCCAGAAAGGCTAAACACCTATTTTTATTTTTCATAGAGAGGGAGCGGTTTGAGAGGTGAGAGCGAAACGGAGAGAAGCGTTTGCTGGAGATGTCTACGTAATTGTAGAGATGTTCAAGCAGGATTGAATAGTTCGATGCCTTATGGTGGAAACTAAACAAAAAAGTAAACCATTTTTATTTATTTTACCAGGTCAGGCCCACTGAGCTATGTAGCTCTTTTTCAGAAGCTACCTGGCCACAAATAATAGCCTAACGAAGTGGCTTACCACGTGGAAATTTAAAGCAGCAATACACTTTAAACGCATGTTTCTAAATGTGGAGATAAAAACCGGAGGACCCAGATAAAAATCCTCGCGACCGCGGGGAGAGAGAGAGAGAGAGACGCACACTCTAAATACACAGCAGGGGGGTCAGGATCGAACCCACGAAGTCCTGTATACCAGGCGAGGCAGATAACATCTCCTAGCCACCGTGGCACCCTCTCGCGTTACATCACGATAGTGGTCTGAACAAGTCACCCACCGGTTTAGATATTTAGCAAATGGGAGGAAATCAGACTACCTGGACAGATTTAAAAAAAAAAACCACTCACGCATACAATGGAATGGCACTTTAAACGTCCATAACAGGTGTATTCAAGAACCCAAATTCCGTACCGTCATCCCCTGGCCACCCTGCAACCAGACAGGGCTGGGAATTTCACAAATCTCGACGCGATCCACCAAGGAGCCCTTGCCTCGAACGTGCTGGATGATGTGACTGCACCACCATGGCCCGAGTGCAACTCCACTTGCCGTGATTCGGGTCGGACCATGTGCACGATTATACAGCGTTGCTTTCACCATTGCGCACGGCTACACTATCGCGTTGCGTGACATCTGTGCGCTGTCACCAGCAATAACAAAACACACACGCGCGCGTGTGCGTTTGTGTGCGCGTGTGTGTGTGCCGGATGCACCGCGGGGAGCGGTGGTGCAGCGGTTAGCGCGCCGCGCCACGGACCCGGCGAACCGAGTTCGATTCCCGCTCGCGGCCACCAACACCGGTGACGATTATCTGAACCGGTCCTGGGCCTCCCCTAGGTCTACTCAGCCTCAAATGAGTAACCCTGGTGCGATGGGGGGACAAAGGCGGCTGGCGAGTGGTGTTTGGCCACTCACCCCCTCGTGTGCCGGTCGCCGGCCTTCATAGGTGCGACTGGCAAACAGCACTTGCCCCAGCAGTCTGTTGAGGCTATACGGGGGATCTTTGTCTTTGCAGGATGCACCACCACCACCAGCAGCAGCAGCGTGACTAAGAGACAAGAGTGTGCCGTTGCGCGAGTTCGAATCGTTTGAATCACACTGGCCACCCTTCCTGTCCCTATTAAACGCGAAACATTCCTTAGTAAGTAGCCCACACGTGCATAGAGTTACACTTCTCATTCGCAGGAGGTAGCCGTGAGAGAGAGAGGGATGGTTGTGGTGGTGGTGGTGGGGGGGGGAGGTCAACATCAGAGGTGTGTGGATGGGGCAAGGTGGGGGGGGGGGGGGTGCCCACGTTTTATTCCCAAAGCGTTTGGTCGAGTCACGGAGAAGGGATAAACTGCCGCGCGTCAAGCCGTCCACGCGTTCCCAGGTCCTCCGCCGGTCCTCCTGACCGCGCGACTGACTCTCATGGCACGACCACCGCACGTGCCTCTCGTCGAGAATCTGAATATTTATTTAGTTACACCGGAGGCATCCGACGAGCTATGAAGCTCTCTTATTTTTTTTTCACACGCACACGCGCACGCGCGCGCGGATGGCCGGGTCGGACCATGTGCACGGCCTCCACGCCTCAAACTCGGATCACCGCGGTGGCCGTGAGCGTGGTTCACGTGGGCCCTGCCCCACCACCCCCCCCTGACCAATTCCACCCTCCCACCCTCACCCTCCACAGCCTGTGGACCACGGTGTAGTTGTACAATCGATAGCCGTACCGCTGGGCACCACGGTGTCGGGATGTCAACTGCCTCGCCTGGTACGCATGACGTCGCGGTTTCAAACCCGACCCTGACGCTGCCTGTCTATTTGGAGTTTTGAATGTTACCCCCGTGGTCACGTGGATTTCTCTCGACGTCCTCCGGTTTTTTTTCCTCCACGTTTAGGAACATGCGTTTTAGGAGTGTTTGTCTGCTGTACGTTTCCACGCGACAAACCACTTCGTTGAACTATCATTTGTGGCCAGGTCACTTATGAAAAGAGCTAGTGGTCCTTACCTGGTAAAGTAAAAGTTTCATTGCTTCATCTCCGTCAAAGTGTTGTCTCATCGGTGGAAATTCCACATTCTAAAGGTTGATGCCAATCTTCCCACTGAACAACCACTGTAAAACTCCTCGTACGGTGGTGCTCAATGGAATGCCCTCGGCTTCGTAGGGGACCTCAAGATGCAGTGATGCTGCCCTAAGTGCTACGAACAAAATTAAATCACAAACACGATTAAATGGTTTCTAAATCGCCTCCTTTGCCGAGATGCAACGTGGCTGGAAATTAAAGACTTGTATCACTTACAATGCTTATTACAAGGCATTTTTGTATGTTGAACTTCTTTCACAACGTACATAGCCAATCATGCTGTTCGGAGATGAGGGAATTTTTGTTTTTACTGGTGCAATGTCCGTATCGTATTTCTAGAGTTAATGTGTTACACCAGACACCAGAACAAGCAACTCACTTGATGAACATGATCATTTAATTCAAGTTTTGGCAAGTACCTTTTGCTAAAAGTTCACATTATGTGCATGCGTCACCTATACATACGGTATGCATACAACCCAACGATGGCAATCAGAATCATTATAGATATGACAAACGAAAATAAATCCTTCATCAGGGATTGATTATAAACTATATATGGATATAGAAAAGTGTTGAGCGGAAACTTTGTTCCGAACCTCGAATCAGTCAGCGTTGCAACACTCCCGTGTCCCGGTTAACTCGACTCTCCAAGTCTGTGGCCCCTTTAAAAAAAAAAGATGGATTAAACTACCAAATACAAAAGTAATAATCTGGTGGAACCTTCAAAATGTTGGCCTCCAACAAGGGCAGTAACCAACATTGAAAAGTGACTGGATTGTTTCGACTGCGTAATTGTACGCAGTACGTTACTGATGCTAGAGCCAGGAGGGTTGCAATATGGAATACTCAGAAACACCAGGCGGAATGAAGTGGGTGGTCTGTGGAGTCGGAGTTAAGTATGCTGCGTGGAAGGTTAACCTCAAATAAAATGTCCCTTACTAATCCAAGGTTCATGTTTATGGAAAAAAAGCCCCAAAATACCATTAAGTTATTTATTATAGCGAAATAAATGCCAAACATTATTTGCGGCGGGAGAAAATGTGGCTTGAAACTTGCGGTTGGGAGAAATTTCATTTGAAGCGTAGTTTCTCGAGAGCCGTTCCCGAGTCCAGCCCCATCGCACGGTCAGCACCTCCTTCCCTCTACCAGTCTAGGGTTCTCGGCGTCACGTTCAACTTCTATCGGTACACATGTAAACTCGCTCACTGATCGCGGACACCCACGGGCTAGTGGTGTCAAGTGCTTTGAGGTGGGTGCGGTAATTGAATAAGTGTATATGCCAGTTTAATTTTATTTAAGTTGCGCTGGGATATAGCCCATAGCTGAACTATTATGCCAGCTCTGAACGTCAGTAAAAATAAAACTGGCATGTCGTTTTATTTTACCAGGTAAGGCCCACTGAGCTGTATGGCTCTTTTTCAGAAGCGACCTGGCTACGTAAGATAGCGCAAGGAAGTGGCGTATCACGTGGACATTTATAGCCGCCAAAGGCCCAAAACGCATGCTTCTAAATGTGGAGGGAAAAACCGGAGGACCCAGAGAAAAATACACGTGACCACGGGGAGAACATTTAATCACCACACCCGCCTATTTCCGCAATCCATTTCTCTACAGCACTGATTTCTTTGTTTCCGCGACTCGACTAACCAGAGGACGCCAAAACAGTTGGAGGGATAAACAAATATATATATTCCCTCTGTTTGTACATGGTGCCGCTGAACGGGAAGTGATGGGCGTTGCTTGGTGAAGTAATCCCCCATTAGCTGCGTCACGCCGCGCGAAACTCCTCGGCGGTTTCCCGGCCCAGGATGGCGTGGGCCAGGGCAACCATTGTCAAGAATATTAGAATCAGAATCGTTATTTTTATTGGTGGAATCCGATGAGCTATAAAGCTCTTTTTCACAGATGCCCAGTAGGGGTGGGTGAGAACGTAACATTTTTTTAGCCAACTCTTTTTAGCCGATTAATCGCCTCAATGGACGAATCGTCCCAGCTCCAAACTAGATCCTCGTAGTCCTATTGACCCACAATTCTTATAGGCGGCAACGAAGTTACCGATGGACGAATCAATTGAGGGCTTGAGGAGGTGGTGGTGGTGGTATGCCCTATAAAAATGAAACCAATTTGACTGAAAATCCTGTATTGATATAGGAGTTGCTGACACATTGATAGTGCCATTTCTCCACGTGTGATGTGCCTTGCAAACCACGAACACAAATAGGAGAGGGCACAGGAGATGTTTTATAAATGAGCTGCATGCGGCTCAATTGAGCTGCTCTTTGTAAGGCAAGAAAATACGAGTCTCACAGGATTCAATGCGAGACAGAGTTAGCAGGTAATTGTTCCTACATGTATACGCGCGCTAGAGTGCTCGCGCGCGTACGCATCGATGCTCGCGCACGTGCGCAGACGTGCGTGGAGGCTCTGCTGGCGACAACAAAAAAAAATGGGCTGCGGTGACATCACCGCCACTTAGTGGGGAACGTCGGTTGCATTGCGTTACTCCACGCATATGCCTCTGTGCACGCACGTGTGCTGCAACGTCAAGGACACTCCACGTGTGCGTAGTGTACAGGATTTAATTTGAAATGTTAATACATAAATTAATTTCAGTAAATGAACAGTCGGCAGTCTTGTTTCACCACCGAAAAATAACGTTTAGGGGTCCCATTGGCATATTGGTCGTCTGGACCAGTTTCCCAGCGGCATCTGTTTTTAAAAAAGCCACAAGCTTGCTGACGAGCATGAGAGAGTTGAAAACCGGCCAGGAGTTTGCCAGCACAAGCAAATACTACTGGAGAACATTCATCCAAGGTGCCGATCGGGTTGATGGAGCTAAATGTTATTTATATTGTGGTGGCATTACAGATCATGTTACATTTATTTATTAAACCCACATCATAATAACCCACAGTCCGTCAAGACCGCACGAGATCATTTTTATACAAACATTGGTTCAGTAATGATGTACCCAACCACCCCCCCCCGCATATCTTCACGCCTGCCATCGAAAAAACAGGAAGAGTGGCGTTCCCAGCATCACCAATATAACCCCACCCCCGGTTCACCCTCGATAAAATAAAACTACAACCCACATATTGGCCACGGCCCCGCAAAGGCCACACGACACGAGAACCTTCGTAGATCACGTGGCCCTCAAGCCCACGCGCGGCGGCGCGGCAAGGAAGCCCGCGTCAAGCCACCGCTGCCCCCAAGCGCGCGTCCCAGTGCAAAGGGCTTTGACGAAGTGCTCTGCAGTTTCGTGTAAACCCTCGTTGGAGTCGCCCACGGAATAACCACCCCCCCCCCCCCCGCCCGCCCGCCCCAGAGGCAACTTCCAAACGCGCGCGCTGTTCCAAACGCACGCGCTGTTCCAAACGAGACGCTCTCGTGCGGCCTTGTCGGCCCACGCGTGGGCAAGCGGATGAGGCGGGCGGGCGAGAGAGCAAGAGCGGGCAAGGTTCCCTGTCCACCGCCAAGTCACTCTTGCTTGTCGACGGGCTCGAGTCTCCATGCGCCGGTCAGGTAGCGCAGGCGGATGAAGAGCAGGTCCCGGCCCATCTGCACCCAGCTCCAGAAGGGAGTCAGCTTGGATCCTGCGGGCAGAATTGCACGGTTGCCAAGCAGTGGTAACGAGAACAGAGGACGCGCGATTGGAATGGTACGAAGGCTGAAGTGTCTCCGTGCACGGCGAATACAAGGGGTAGGCGGTAGGGAGCGTCGATAAAAAGGTTTCTTCCATTTTTTTCTGGCAACAAAAGAGCTGTGCTAAGATGCTAAAACACCGAGCTGAAACCTTTTTACGAGGAATCATGTTACTGCGTTAACCACACTGCTTGTGGTCAGAATGCAAACAAAAAACATACTCTGATAATATCTGTGGCATTGTCCTTGAAACTGATTGGTCCACACCAGAGACAGCTTTCTTTTGAGCCTCGTCTCAAACGGTTGTTAGACCAGAGGACGCCAAAAGGCGGAGGGGTCCCCATGAGGTAGTGAGCGTTGTTACCGACGGCACCACAGCCACCAACGATAGAAATTCCACATTCCCACGGTGGGGTTCAGTCTCTCCGAAGGAGCGCTGTTGACTTGCGACAAACACATTTTGTTTACTCTGGCGGGATCGCAGGCTACAAAGTTAACCTCAAAGCGGGATTTGAACTCGGAACCTTTCCGAATCTTAGTCAGACATCCCAAGCAGTGCCACCCAGCTGGATGATAAGTGACAGCTACACATATATACTCGTGTGTGTAAATATATCTCGCCTCCTCTGCCCGCCCAGCCTCCGCTATTATTTTATTGTTTCCCTTCAACGTGACTTTACCGAAAGAGATAAGAATATAAGTACAAGCACTTAGACCGCGTATGCAAGTGGGCAATCAACGTACCCTCAATCTCTGTCCACCTGACGGCCACCTCCGCGACAGGGATGCTCAGGCACTGTGCGATGTACAAGAGCTCAACATCAAAGGCCCTGAGAGAAAACACAACAGCAAGCACGTGTGTTAAATACGACGCACCGAGCACAAAGTGTACCGGATGTTTGTTGGCCACTGCTGGTGGAAAGGCCTCCACTGAATACGGTGCTAGGGAGGCCCCTATAGAGGCTCTTTGGTCTAGTCTTGAGCTGGCCAGACATCTAACAAGGGGTGGAAGCGAGCGAACTTATATCCCACCACACATTGACCTGCCGACTGACTGTCGTGGATTCATCCTTTGGCTGGCCATCGAACAAAGACGGTCACCGCATCACGTGCGTTCAGGTGCGCTCCTGGTGGCCGTCTAGAACGCTCTCCCGTTCTGATATCAGGAAGCCAGTGGAGCTATAAACGTTAAAATCTATGTTGAGAACTTATTTCTTTAGGACTGCTTTTTGTGTTTAGTTTGTTCGTCCTTCCCACACACACATCAGATCAGCACGGTTGGCTACGTACGGTGCGAAATAAGTTCAATACGCACACGTACATCGTGAATTCTTGCTGGGCGGGCAGAGGAGGCGAGATTTAAGAAACCTTCCCATCGCGTCAATCGCCCCAGCAAAATGACAAAACTGCCGAACTCTGGATCGCAAGTCCAAATGTGCGAACCGCTGCACCACGGCAGCATCAAGATTACACCCACGCTGAGAAACATTTATACTCTTTGGTTCTATTCGGTAAAGTCACGTAGGTAAAAAATAAAACAACAAAAAATCACGACGTTTCGGCCACAACACAAGCGGCCTTCGTCAGGCGAAGGGACCAGGCTGTCTCGAGGACAGCGCTGGAGTGAAACACAGCCACGCTCAGACCGCGACCTTTAAGCTGTGTGCGAGGAAACAAGGTGCCTTGACAAAGGAATTAGCATAAAAATTAGCATTTGATTGGCCGACTTAGCATGATGAACGGTGTAGAGGTGGTGTACATGCGGGTGAACATGCCGGTTGGCGCGGAGGGGGAGTTTACCTGTGTTGTGGCCGAAACGTCGTGATTTTTGTCATTGTATTTTTTACCCACGTGACTTTACCGAATAGAACCAAAGAGTATGGATCCTTGCAGTCACGAAAGCTTCAAATCTAGAATTGCGAAACACTCGTCACGTGTTTATCTGCTCTCGTCACAAACGCCCTCTATGCAGACATCTTTTTCTCCCACAAAACCAACGAGTCGGAAAATAAAACACATTTTTGCGCAACAACACTCCTCCCCACTCGCTTGGGTTTTCTCCCACAACCACACGGCAGCAAGCAAAGTCATTCCCACTGGTGCGACGACGGACGCCGCTTGCACGTCACGTATTTTTGACGCGGGCGCGCGCTACGACGGCGCTCCGTGGGACCGCGTCATGGAGACGCGTGGTGCATTTCAACAACCGTCTCGAACGCGTATCCACTTATAATCATTTACATTCACCCCCCCCCCCGCCGTTGGGAAGGAGTTGAGTCTATCCGTCCGAGTCAAATAACAAATTCTCGCGTACACCAATGATTTACAGTATTGATCTCGTGCAACTCACCCCCCCCCCCCACTACCTTTCATCATTCAGTTGAACAGAAACATATTTATCAGGAAAACGACTCGAGTCATGGCTCTTCACATAGGTCACTGCCCGCAACATTAGCCGACTAAAGATTTTTTTGTTTTTACGTTAAGGGGCAGTGTTAATGCGCTAATGGTGGTCTATTGTTTTTTTTAATTGTATTTCAGTCAGAAAAGTATCTTAATGCAGTTGCTGCCCCAAACACACGTATATCAGTAGTCGTGTTGTTTGGAAATCCTCCAAATCAAGTTGTATTTATAAGTCACTTTCGCTTTGTTTGCAATAAAGCCATTGATCCAATTTAGTACCACATTAATTATTACATCTACAAAGAGAATTAACTGTTGTCTTGAGCCAACCATGTAAATAATGATGCTATCTGTAAGGGAAGTTACTCTCTCAGACATGCCTCCCACTACTTTTATATTTATTTGTAAACACTGCCAAGTCGGTAAAGAATCACAAATTAAACCTGGCCAATGTTTCGGTGCCAGTCTCCTTTTTGTTCCTATTAAAAGAGCGAGCGATCCTGACTTGGTTCCAGATTCCAGACTTCAGCGAGAGTTCGGTAATATATCAGCGTACAATGGAAACTTTTACCATTTCATAGCACTCTGCACCCACTGAATAAGAACTTCGTGGATTCTTTAAATCCTCGCAAATCCGATACAAAGGCTACGTTTTCCAGGAATCCAAACGAATCATGAAAGTAAGCTATGTAAAAAAAAATACACTGCACAAATGTGATTCATAAATGTCTTAAACTATTTTTTTTATTTGAAAGATAACGCTCACTGAGCTTTTAGCTCTTTTTCAGAAGCGACCTGGCCACAAATGATAGCTCAACAAAGTGGCTTACAAGATAGACATTTATAGCAGGCAAACACTCTAAACGCACACTGATTCTAAATGTGGAGGGACAAACCTGGAGGGACAAACCTGGAGGACCTGAGGAAAAAGTCACGCGACCACAGGGAGAGAGACACGCAGACTCCAACTAAACAGGTGTCAGGCTCGGGATCGAACCTACGACCTCCTGTAAACCCGGCGAGGCAGTTAACATCTCGCAACCGCGGTGCCGCTGCCAGTGAGTTGCCGCTATCTGAAAGATGGTGATGTGAAATTTGGTTGCCAGGGACAGTTTCAGATCACTCACGGTGCAGTCGGGAAATTCTGTGACATCGCATCAGCCACTGATATTTATGAATGTTAAACAAACCCACTGTAATGTGTCGGTGCAGTCCGGCTTCAAGGTAGTTGCGGGTAGTGCAATATTTGGCTTTTTAAGAGAGCATGCAATTGACTCAAGTTGATAGGCTGGAAACAAATATTTACTGAACATTACTTTAGGACAAAACGTGCAAACACGTTTTCCCACGATATTTAAAAAACGGGGCCGGGTAACAATAGCTGGTAATGAGAAACGTTAAAAATACCACTCGCTACAATCTACAAGATCACTATTTAAATAAACGGTTTATTATTACTCGGTGCCACAAGGCTCCCCCCCCCCCCCCCCCCTTGGCCGTCGTGCGGTGAAACCCGGTCTCGTGGAACCCAGTTCTGACACCAACGAGTGGCTCCGCCGTCTTCCCACAGCTCAAGGGGACGCGGTGACGGCAGCAACTGGGGCGCCCCCAGCTGTCACCGTCGGCCAAAGCAACGCGCAGCGACAAGTGCTTCAGCGCACCGCCAGCAGGGCTCGAAAAAAAAATGAAACCCTCGGAAGCTCCGACGGAGCTTTCGAGCTGAATTTGAAAGCGACCTCCGAAAGCGCGGCCGCAAATTACACATTTCCCACCCTCCCCCCCCGCTACAACCGCGGGCGTATTCCACCGGCGCGAGTCCGAACCCGATCTCCCCCCGACGGTTTCCGAGAGTTTCTTTCTTGCCGTCCGCGGCCACGGCGGCACCGACACCTGTCTGTTGCCGTTTCTGTCGGCGCTGGTGACCTGAACAAAAGGACGCGGTGCCCAGTCGTGTCTGCCCGTGTCAACAGAAATGCAGCGCACGACACCGGCGATGCCACGTACGGACGGACGGACGCACGGTTGGGGGTCCCCGCAGCGGCAGCAGCAGCTTGTGACCCTGGTGCCCAGGCAACTATCTCTTGCTTCCGCCCCGCCCACCCGCCAGCTCAGTCGCCCGCCTGCCAGCCAGCCAGCCAGTCAGCCAGCTAGCCAGCCAGCCAGCCCACACCCCTCACAGCTCCCGGCACACATGCAGGCCGGATCGTGAGCTGGCACAGTCACCGGATTGTGTTACTGCCACGCAGCACATCGTGACCACCCGTCACAGCACAAAGGGGGCCCCTCATTGCACTTTTAATTCTCAAACCGCGCTGCCCAAAACGGGCTTTTGTTTGCTTATTAATAATTATATTTTTTTCACATTTCATGTCCATGGCAGGCATGTGGCAGCTTCCCGTCAGTTAATTTCGGCAAATTAAGCGAATGTAAAGCGTCTTTTGAGGGATATACATTGCGTGTGAAGTACCATCGGCTTTAACACAGAGGCTTTCAGAACCAATATCCAAAACATAGGTTTTCTGGGTTAGATCGCGTAACTATATAAATGTGTCATTAAACCCGCCACCACCCAACACGGCCAATTAGTAAGGTTTGTCACGTAAACAGCACATGCCAATCTGATTGTAAATGTTGTGGATTTGTTTCCCAACACACCGGTGTGCTGTACAAGTAACGAATTGGCCACGTTCTGTTTACGTGACAAACCTTACTAATTGGCCGTGTCGGGTGGTGGAGGGTTTAACGACACATTTATATATTTACGCGATCTAACCCAAAAAATAAACCTCTATTACGGAGTACCATCGCCGCTTCGGTTATCTGCAAGACCGGCCAGCGTCTTCCCCTGCTTGCTGGCCAATGGCAGGACCCAGTGTCTTCATTGAGCGGTCAACTCTCAATAGAAGCTTGCTCACGCTGAGCTGCTGCTGCAGAATAACAACTCATCCTCAGAGGAGATCAATACTGGATGTCGGAAAACCATTTGCGGTACGGTATGCCGGCTGATGCAAACATCTGTGGTAGGTTAAAGTGTGGGTAACTTCCCATTCCGACTCGTCCTGGGTGCGTACAGTACAGTATAGTATACGGTAAACCCGTGCCAACAAGATTTCACGATAACTAAAGTGCTGGGTCCAGGGATTAAACCGTAGAGTATTTATTGGAATCTTCCACAAAGTGTCAAGAGCGAAAGGGTTCTTCTCTAACTGGGCGAGCAAAGCCACGTCCCAGAGAGCAATAACGGGCCCACATTTGGTTTCCAGATGGGTGAAAGTGAGGCAACTGTGATTACAAGGAAGCACTAACTTCAATTTGCCGCTCGTCTTTCTAAAGTAACTTTTTTGGTGTTGCGAAATAATCGCGGGCACTTTTGCGGGGGGGTGGGGGGGGGGGTACGGGGGGCTGGGGAGAAAGTAAACAACGGAACTTTCCGCCGATGCCCTGCGATTGGGGCGCGAAGGGCAACACGGTGCCGGGGTATGGCGAGTGAGTGGCCGCGTGTGCAAACTCCAGCACAGACACTCGTGACAAAGACAGAGAATCCCTCCAACCCTCCCCCCCGCCGCCCCCCCCGTCCCATAGCCTTCAACAGAATGTTGGGGCGAATGCGGTTAGCGAACACCTATTGAGGTTGGCACGGCACACAAGGGGGTGGTGGTGGTGGGATCACCACATGATGCCCGGCTGCCTTTGGCTCGTGGTTTTAAAATGCCTGGCCAGGTACCCATTTGAGGTGGAGGTGACCTAGGGTAAAGTCAAAAGACCGCTTTAGACATCACTCGCCGCTGATGTTATTTGTGGCGACCACTTCCGGAATTGAACTCAGGTTGCCGTTACATACCCACCGGGCACTAATTTTATGCTAAGTAAACCTAGCAGAGGTCCAGACCATCTTCAGATGTCAATCGGTATTTCTGGGACGCAATGTTACAAGTAGATCAATACGCTCGTGATGCGTGCCACAAAAAAAAATCAACGTTTGTATTCGTGCACGTTGCATGCCGTGAGTTCACATGACCGCGAGAGCTACTCAAGGCACCACAATCTAAAAAGAAACGATTCTCGAATCCAAATCGCTGCCGCGAAACCGTGACAATGCCATCAAATCACAGGCCGAGTCTCGCAAAGCCAAACGAAGAATTCTCTAGCGTCGAGTGACCGTTCTGCGAGCCACATAGTGGCAGAGAACCAATGATCAATAAAGCATGTAGGTATTTATTAAATTAACGAAATTATTCAGTGGCCCGGAACAGCTACTACGGCCGGAGGGCATACCGGGCAAACGAGGGCTCGCGATCGGCAAACACGCCAACGGCAACACCGGGGGGGGCGTGGGGGGTGGGGGGCGGATTTTTCTCCGGCTCCTCCGGTTTTTCCCTCCACATTCAGAATCAACGTCACGCATTTAGAGACACATGGCCGCTGTGAATTTCCACGCGACGACACGCCACTTCGTCGCGCTATCGATTTGCTGACGGCCAGGTCGCTTCCGGAAAAAAAAGACCCGAGTAAGCTCAGTGGTGGGGGGTGGGCCCTCAACCTGGTTAAAATAAAAAAAATATATGTAGGTCGGGTTAAGAGTGACGCGGATGGGTGGCCACGCGGTGGGGGGGGAGGGGGTGTGGGTGGGTGTGGGGGATGAGGTGGGGGGGAGAGACCCGCCCGCCCGCCCGCCCCCGACGTACCAGCGCTCGACGTGAAGGTTGGAGAAGGTGCGCAGGGCGGCGGCGCGGCTCAGCAGCTTGAAGCCGCACTGCGTGTCGCGCACCCCCCGTACGCACAGCAGCCACACGAGGAAGTGGAAGCCGTACATGAGCAGCGTGCGCAAGTAGGAGCGCTGCGGTGCCGTTGTGGGATTTGGTAGAGGGGGAGGGGGGTAGAGAGGAGATGGAACGCATGGGGGGAGGGGGGGGGGGTGGTGTGTGGAAGGAGGGAACGTTTAAAAGGGGGGCACAGGGTTAGGATTGGGAGAGGTCATTGTGGGGACGAGGGTAGGACACGAAAACATTAGAACCGAAGTAACATGAAAATAACACATTTCTGTCCCAACTTGATTGCAGTCGTGCTCATGGCATTATGGCAGGAAGGCGAAAAGTCAATTCGGAATGCTCGCAGAGCCGCGCATCACCATGAGAGAACGTCCCTGCAGGGGACAACATAGCAGAATCCCTTATGAGACCCCCTTCATTTTTTTTTATGCAATCGCGGCTCCGATACAGAAGCACACTCTCGTCACACTGCATCCAAAGCGATATTTTTTTAATGCTCAAAGTTGGGATTTGGCCAAAATAAGTGAGATTTTTTTTTTTGTTTCATACGTTGGCTTTTTTGCGTGCAGCCATTGTGTGCGGTAATTGGCTAAGACCGTCAACTCGCTACGCTTGAGAACTCGGTTTAAATCGACCAGTGGCTGAACCCCGGATTTGAAACCAGAATCCCTTAAAAAGATACAACCCAAAAAACCAACAGCTGTTACCCAAAAGGCGCACGCACGAGGCTGTACGACTAAAGAGTTTTAGGCATCGTTAGGCGCGGAATAAAAAAAATACTTTTAAAGTTGCGGTCAGACGATCCGACTCTCACTTCCGTGTTGCCACTGCATTGACACTGCATTGCCACTGCATTGACACTGCATTGACACTGCATTGACACTGCATTACAGCATAACGGAACGCTCTCGAAGTGATGTCACTGGTGTCGGAGGCGGTGCGGATGACTGCAATTTGAGAGCATCTTCGAAGCTTCAGCGCATGGCCGGGGGGATGCTTGGGACAGGCAGCCGAGGGTCGGTATCTACACCCGCACAGCCCTTTTGTTAATCCACTGCTGGATGAATCCCTCCCCCAAGTATCTAGAACATAGGCGCTCTGCTTTTTTTGGGTTACCTTTTTCTTTTAGCGACCCTCAAAATACAAGTAAATTCCCCCCACCAACCACCCCCCATGGGCATCTCTCTTGGCAGCTCTCAAAGACATATTCCACATTCACATGGGCAAGGACCAAAGTCTTTCCGTGGGACAATCGCCGCTGGCTTTCCAACCCCGGCGGCGTCACTTTTTTTATTGACCACAGGAGGATATATATATGGCTGAACGGAATGAAATCGGATATGTACGCACACAAACGTAATACACGCCGAAACACAAATTGGGCGGTGGCTCCCAGCAAAAAAAAAATAAAACTCTGCGCGCCACATGCCGGTACGATTGTCGAAAACGGGCAGATAATAACGAGACTTGACGTTAAGAGCAGCTGCCCAACTAAATACGCGTGACGAATATTGACTCCAAAGCGGAAGCTAAGTGACGTCGAAGAAACAGAGCTGTACGCTAATGAAGAGCGATCCTCTCTTTTTGGTCGCGCTTTGCTACGTCGGACGTAGGATATGCATGCACGGCAAATTAGATGCACGTCAAACAAAAACCTCGCTGCCGCTTTTCCGTCGCTTACGCGCGCAACCGAAACATGACAGGAAAGCTCCGGAAAAAAAAAAATGCACGGTTAAATAAGCACAACTCTGCTCTGTGTCTCTAAATATAATAAATGCACATTGTGTTCCATCGGTCCAACTGGCTGTCCAGATGCAAATATTTAGTGGCGGCATTTGTTTAAGCAGGTGAAGGTCTGGACTGGGTTTTTCGACATTCTGAGTCTCACCAGCCGAAGTCTGGCTTGGGTTTGTATCTCAAAAAAAAAACAGAGGAGAGGAAAACGGGAGATAAAAAAAGAATAAGAGGAATATTTCTGCCAAGACATTTGAAAGGAAGGAAGCAGGGGAAGCAGCCTGAGAAGAGCAGATGCTGTTTATGGGAGGACAGCTGTGCGGAGCGCGGAATCGCGTGAACACGTGCGGGTGTATTTGTGTCTACACGAGTCTCCAGCGAGCCAGCCCGGGTAAGTCTGATCACCCGAAACGGACTGGGCGTGGCAGATCCGTGTCAAACCCACGCACACATACACACACACACGTTTTTGTTATAGCAGTCTGCGCTTGTTCTATGACCAGCGCGCAGTGGGCAGAGCCCGCTGTCGTTCGGTAGGCCCTAACAGCCGCATAAGCAGCATCGAGCCGTAGAGTATTTCCTTATGGGAATGCCACCGCAGAGAAATTTTGTTGTAAAATAGCAGTCTTGCCCCCACGGTGTAAAGTGAAAATACATTTGGCCATGGCAATCTTGACGATACACTCAAATAGCACGTTTTGTTATTGCAAGTAATCTATATTACGACAATATTTTACTTAGTATTTGTCCGCCTTCATCATATATTCATCATACCAAAATGAGTAAGAGCTTATTTTTGACTAGCAGGAAGCAGGGACCTGTGGTATTGATGGTAAGCTACACATAAGTAATGACTTTTGACCTAGGTAAAAAAAAACGGGATAAGCATGTTATACCGTGCTCATCTCATGTCTAAAAACGTCTAAACTCTCTTTCAGTTCCCCTCAATTTCTGTTGAGCTCCATGTTGGGAATAGTGTGTAAAATAAATTAAAACGTGGGTAACACGTGGGAGACAGAAGGAGTTTCCGTGGAGATCTAAACCAAAATTTCACAGCTATTTCTAGTTTCACACAATCAGATTCTCCAAGTGATCATATACAACCTTGAGGAGGGCTCTATACAGTTCAGTCACTTATTGCTGGATCTCTCTCCGTCATCATACAATACAATCTGTGTTTATAAAGCATCTAGATGCGATCACAATTCAAGACTACTGTCTCGGTCACGTATGTTGTCCTGGGCAGTCCCTCGATTTTCTCACAGAGCAATCCATCCACGGGCTGCCAATGCCCATCTCATTTTTCTAGAGCTGCTTTTTACGTTCAGCATTGTTGTTGTCCTTCCCCCGCAGAGTCTGATTGGCGCGGTTGGCTACGTACGGTGGTGTGAGAGAAGTTCAACGTACACAAAAGGCAAAGATCCCCCATATAGCCTTAACAGACTGTAGGGGCAAGTGCTGTTAGCGAGCACCTATGAAGGCCGGAACGGTACACGAGGGGGTGGGTGGCCAGCACCACGCCCGACCGCCTTTGTCTCCCCAGTGGCGACATTTACACACCGCGCCGGATACTAATTTGAGGCCGAGTCGACCTAGGGGAGGCCCGGGACCGGCTCAGATAATCGTCACTGGTGTTGGCCGTGAGCGGGAATCGAACCCGGGTCGCCAGGTTCATAGCGCAGCGTAGCGCTAACCGCTGCACTATCGCTCCCCACGTAAACACACACACACGTACCTACATACGTACCGACGGGGGGTACGAGTCGCGTGTCTCGATGGGGAAAAGGGATTGCCCCACTCTTCGGTGCTCCAGCAAAACAGAAAACACCCCCAAATGAATGTCGCCACCAGTGAGAACATTAGGCTCACTCCAAAGTAGTGCTCGTGCACGTTTATCAATAATTAACAATGTATTTCAGCGCCAAATAGATTTTTTTTTTTAAAAATTGATTCTCTTTGAAGAAATAGAGTAAACTCGTGTGGACATCCTTGTTGACGGACCGTTTGTGTTTTACTCGTCGCGGATAAAAAAAAAATAGCCGTGTTGAATTAATGACGAGACCCCTGCTGTTGGTCGCTTTAACGTCGTTTGACGATTCAAGAGGGAACACAGGGAGCTTTATTATTTGTGAGTTCACGTTTGCGGCCGGTCATATTGTTTTAGCATCTTCCCCATTGTCAAAATTTAAGAGAAGACATATTTAGGAGGCAATATTGCAATACGTGGGGATATCTTTACACTGATAAATATAGAACGCTTAAATGCCCTTTTTAAATATTCTTGGTTCTTTCGGTAAAGTCACGTAAATAGAAAAAAAAATCTAATGAAAATTAATTATAATTAAAATAATAAAAAAATAACAAAAATAGAATATGAATTCCTGCAGTCACGAAAGTTAAGTCAAAATTTAACTGCCCGTTTTAACTTTTGTACCTGAGTGCAGCGCTCACACCAAAGCTGCACTTTGCTACAATTTGGCATTCATTACATTTTTATAAACCAGTCGTGAAATAACCGTTCCGCATTTAACTGCTCGAATATCGCTTAACGTTTTCTAGACCCTCAAACTACACAACTATTAATGTTAGAGTAAAAAAAACGCTGGTCAGTTTTTTTGTCCAAAATAAATATCCTGATTGCCAACGAGGTGGCGTGTTGCGACGGTTTAGCGGATCGAATCTCCCCCCCTCCCGCCCTCCCTTCGAGCAATGCCGAGGGTCGTAATGATGTCACAGGGTATTTAACATCCACTTCATAGCAGATGGATGCACGTTGGCAATTCGCCCCCCCCCCCCACCACCCCCTCCAAAATCATCACATGGTGGCTCGGGGAAGTGAGCACAAGGACACCCCTCCAATATAGAATGACATCACGTCTCGGTAAGAAGGCAAATTAGCGCACGGCTCACTGCCATCTTGGAAGAGCTGCACCGTCGGTCCCGAGTAATGGTTCGCGCAAAAGGCGATTTCTAGACGTCACAAGGAGTGTACCAGGAAGCACACACGATCGGTCCTCCCGTCAAGCCAGGCAGGACCGGTTGTATGGCGACAATCGCGCCTCTTGCCGTCCAGAAATAACCTATTGCATCTATTAGGGTGCCCTGTGCTACCATCATTATTTCGTTTCCAGCCTGCACGCACACGCCTGTCTGATGAGTGTCTCAACATTTAAAGAAAGTGTTTCAGAAATAGTTTGAACTGTAGTCAACTACGATCTCGTGTGGGTAGAACCCCCCCCCCCCCCCCCGGCGCATGTTTCCAATGCGCAAACCCCAGCAGCTGGCGAGCGCGGCGGAGTTCTGCAGAGGTTCCTAAATAAAGCCTCGCCGAGAACTACGCCCGCGCATCTCTGGGCCGCCAACAAAAACAGTGGTGACTGTGTTCACCCCCTTCAGAGCAGAAGAAACTGCTGCTGCCCGCGGACACCTCTGCCACAAAGGGGGCAGATTAAAGATGACCCACGGTGGGGTGACTGTGGTCACCAGAACCGAACGATGGACAGACACCTCCATCAACTGCAATCTCCGCCTCCGCTCTCTGGCGGACTGCGCGGAATTAATCACGCTGCTCCCGATGCCATGGCGTGGCTCGCAATCTTCATCCTGGGACGTACACATTTACATGAAAGGTGGGCATGCTTTGTGACGACGAAGGAGCGCAGCGGCGCTCGAGTGTGCGAGCGGCTCACCTGAGCGATGGAATCCTGCTCTAGGTGGGCACGGGACCCACAGGAGATGGCCAGGAGACCCGGCTGGCAGGACAGGGAGACAACGTGGGGGTTTGTTTACACGGTGGTCCGGTTAACGGTCAACAAAAGTCGCAGCCATCGAAATCATCGTGCATTTTGAGACCGGTGTTTTTTTCAAAGTGAATACTTTCAAAAAACACCGTCAGATTTCATGGCGTAAATTCTGTATTTTCTCACGCGCCGTTCATTCAGCTAAGCGTAACCCGCACCGTGAAAGGGTTGCGGTCGACGGGAAACCCAAACTCACCTCTCTCCCCAGGATCTCCTTTTGCGCCGCCTCCAGTTTCTCCAGGTCGGGGAACTTGGTGGCTCCATCGGCGTCTGCCATGAGCAGAGACTCTCCACGCGCACAGAACATGCCCTGCGTTGCGGGGGAAGACATGTCGTCCGTCACACCGGCATTCTTCCACCGCTCTCCCCTGGCTCAGAGACAAAGATCCCATCCGCGTGGCCTTTAAGAGACTATCAGGGCAAGTGCTGTTAACAAGCGCCTAGGTTGCTGCAGTGCACACACAACGGGGGTGGGGGGGGGGTGGTGGCCACAACCATGCTCGGTCACCTTTGGCAGGACAAAGGCACACAGCACCAGGTACACATTTTAATGCTAAGTCGATCTCAGGGAAGGCCCAGGACCGGTTCGGACATCACTCGTAACCGATGTAAGCAAGTGGTGACCGTGAATAGAACTCAGGCCTTGACTTAAAGCTTTCGTGACTGCAGGAATTCATATTCTTGGGCCTTTCGGTAAAGTCACGTAGATAGGTTCAAAGAAAATAACAAAAAATAACGAAAAAAAACTACGACGTTTCGATCACTTGTGTTGCGATCGAAACGTCGTAGCTTTTTGTTATTTTCTTTGAACCCATCTACGTGACTTTACCGAAAGACCCAAGAATAAGAACTCAGGCCGTCTGGATCCGGAGCGCAGTGCACTAACCACAGCGCCACCGCTCCCCAAATCTTGTGCAATACACAGGACTCGCGCATGCACACACACACACAAGACGCACAATAATTCACACCCAGAGACGAGAGGAACTGTCACAATTGTGATTCAATTCGAGATGGAATTCTCGTTTCGTTTGTACTGTCTGCACCTATCTGTCTCGTTTGCTACGTTTTATTTATCCTGTCTTCTCCATTCCCGTTAGCCAAAATGTTATATTGCATACAAATTGCATGAGATGTTAATATATTCTCAGTACGAGCTGCAGCGCCAAGTATCTCGAGCTTAATAATGGACTCTTTAATCAGTCGATGCATTGTTACGCAACGCACCATTGTAATATTAACAAATGCAAAATATCCAGAATCATGCAAAAAATGTGCTACTCACCCCGCTTAACAAAGAACCTTCGTAAGCTTGCACGAGACATGCCATCTCCGTTGCCACAACTGTCAAGCATCTCATTTCCAAAATAAACCTTGAAAGTCCTTTACGTAAGCCAGGGAAGCCTCTAAAAGTTGCAAAACCCTTTTTTGAAGGGGTCCTGCTTATGATGTTTGTCCAATTCCTTGTACGGGGCTTTTTATTGCATGTGGGAGGAAACCGTTATGCCTGAAGCCCACAGTGAGCAGCAAGGAGGAACACAAAATAAGAAATCGAGAATGAAGAACTAATGAGAATATTGGTACAGACATGCAAGGCAATGTCTGGGTGTGCACCTGCTATTATATTGCAGAAATGATATTCCTCGTGTGCAAGAGTCCATAAAGACTTTACTTTGCACATGCTCTTGAATTCTATCACACCCAGTTGGCAAAGATCCTCCATGGACTTGCCGCAGCCTATCTCTCCCCTCTCATCGCGTTCTACTCCCCATCCATAGCCTCTTTCGGCTCCAGAAACCAAGGCCCTCTGTCGAAGCTCCCAGCCAACTTTGTCTTCACGAGCGCTGCTCCTATGATCTGTTGACTCCATGTCTCTGTTCAAATCCAGGTTCAAGAGCTCCCTTTTATCTCTGCCTACCACTTGCTTCTCTCTTAGAAGATAAATAAAAGCGTACGGTGTCTTGAGATCCCGGTCGCATTCAGATTGCTGTATCGACACAAATGGTACTTGTGCTGCACCCGTATATATCCAGCTGAACCAATCACGCAGTACACACCATCTCACGCGCTGCAGGAATTCCTCGGCAGTCTTGCTAAAGACACCTCACCGACGATGTTGACGGAACTTTTGTCGAATATGCTCCAACGTTTTGGAGCCATATTTTGACGTGAACTTTGGTTGTTAAATCCTAAGCGATTGTTCAAGAGCGTGGCTCTTCCGCAAAGGAATTTTCAATTTGAGCGCAGTTCATTAGAAGAGTGTCTGTGTGCTTGTGTGGTTATTGATTGGATGCAGGACCTGGGTGAATATGCCTAACAGGCACTTTGGGTGTGGTGTGGGGGATGCGCAAAGGGGGTGGTGTGGAGGATGTGTGATGGGTGTGGAGGATGTGTGATGGGTGTGGAGGATGTGTGATGGGTGTGGTGTGGAGGATGTGTGATGGGTGTGGTGTGGAGGATGTGTGATGGGTGTGGTGTGGAGGATGTGTGATGGGTGTGGTGTGGAGGATGTGTGATGGGTGTGGTGTGGAGGATGTGTGATGGGTGTGGAGGATGTGTGATGGGTGTGGAGGATGTGTGATGGGTGTGGTGTGGAGGATGTGTGATGGGTGTGGTGTGGAGGATGTGTGATGGGTGTGGAGGATGTGTGATGGGTGTGGTGTGGAGGATGTGTGATGGGTGTGGAGGATGTGTGATGGGTGTGGTGTGGAGGATGTGTGATGGGTGTGGTGTGGAGGATGTGTGATGGGTGTGGAGGATGTGTGATGGGTGTGGTGTGGAGGATGTGTGATGGGTGTGGAGGATGTGTGATGGGTGTGGAGGACGTGTGATGGGTGTGGTGTGGAGGATGTGTGATGGGTGTGGAGGATGTGTGAAGGGGGTGGTGTGAAGGATGTGTGATGGGTGTGGAGGACGTGTGATGGGTGTGGTGTGGAGGATGTGTGATGGGTGTGGAGGATGTGTGAAGGGGGTGGTGTGGAGGATGTGTGATGGGTGTGGTGTGGTGTGGAGGACGTGTGATGGGTGTGGTGTGAAGGACGTGTGATGGGTGTGGTGTGGAGGATGTGTGATGGGTGTGGTGTGGTGTGGAGGATGTGTGAAGGGGGTGGTGTGGAGGATGTGTGATGGGTGTGGTGTGGAGGATGTGTGATGGGTGTGGTGTGGTGTGGAGGACGTGTGAAGGGGGTGGTGTGGAGGATGTGTGATGGGTGTGGTGTGGAGGATGTGTGATGGGTGTGGTGTGGAGGATGTGTGATGGGTGTGGAGGATGTGTGAAGGGGGTGGTGTGGAGGATGTGTGATGGGTGTGGAGGATGAGTGATGGGTGTGGTGTGGAGGATGTGTGATGGGTGTGGTGTGGAGGATGTGTGATAGGTGTGGTGTGGAGGATGTGTGATAGGTGTGGTGTGGAGGATGTGTGATGGGTGTGGAGGATGTGTGAAGGGGGTGGTGTGGAGGATGTGTGATGGGTGTGGTGTGGAGGATGTGTGATGGGTGTGGTGTGGTGTGGAGGACGTGTGATGGGTGTGGTGTGGAGGATGTGTGATGGGTGTGGAGGATGTGTGAAGGGGGTGGTGTGGAGGATGTGTGATGGGTGTGGAGGATGTGTGATGGGTGTGGTGTGGAGGATGTGTGATGGGTGTGGTGTGGAGGATGTGTGATGGGTGTGGAGGATGTGTGAAGGAGATGGTGTGGAGGACGTGTGATGGGTGTGGTGTGGAGGATGTGTGATGGGTGTGGTGTGGAGGATGTGTGATGGGTGTGGAGGATGTGTGATGGGTGTGGTGTGAAGGACGTGCGATGGGTGTGGTGTGGAGGATGTGTGATGAGTGTGGGGTGGAGGGTGTGTGAACGATGCATTTCCGTGCTTCGCGGTGGTTTTCAAGAAAGTTGCAATGTAATCATGTGTTATGGATGAGCTCACCGACAAGCAACGAGGGGAAAAAGACAAGCAATGTCTCCCGTGCCGTGCAATTCAGGTTGCCGGAGGCAGAGACCACAGATTTGGGGCGGATGTACAGTACAACAATGGGTTTTGCTGCACTGCGCTCGGCTGTTCGCCACGTAGTGTCCCCGGCGGCGGCCACCCATCCGAGCACCGTCCAGGCTCAATCCTGCTTAGCTCCCAGCTGTGACGAGACTGGGAGCGTTGCGGGCGATGCACCGAGAACCGTGCTTGGCGTGTCGACGCACAGCGCTTTGCACGTGCGTCGAGTAGCGGGGTGGCGACGTACGTAGCACGTATGTAGGTTGAACTCCTTTCGCACCCGTATGTAGGCAACCGTGCCCATCGGAAGCGCGGCGGAAGGACGACAAACTAAACCCAAAAAAGTAGTTCTTAGGAAATGAGTTTTCAATTTGAATTTAAAAACGGATAGATCTAGTGGCTTCCAAAATATCGGAATGAACAGCGTTCCAGACAGCCCAGAAGCACAATGTGTGTTAGGTGGCGCGGTGCGGTGAGCGGGGGATGCCGGCGTGATGCCCACCCGCTTCACGGCGCCGCCCTTGCCGCGGTTCCGCTGCAGTGTCAGCACCCGCACCCTCTCCGCCCCAAAGCGCTCCACGTAGCCAAGCGCCACCTGTTACCGCACAAGCGGTGAAACGGACGCAGGGCCACAACACAGAACAACGGTCGTTTTGTTTGCCACTTCTCCGACTCCCTGACAAGCCGTAAGTGAGCATTTGCGGGTTTTTAAACCTTTTTTTTTCTAAACCCAAAATACATTCCAATTTTGCGTTGAGCAGTCCCCCTCTGTAACTTTCATCATCGCTAAGCCATGAGCCAAAGATGCATCAATTTGGAACTCTTGGAAGGGCAGTGCATCAGCAGCCTATGCTGGAGAACAGGCTGCAGAAGTTGGTATCAGAGAACTACATCTCCTTCGTCTGAGAGCCCTTTCAACGACCTCTTATCTACACGAGGGGGCAACTGCAATTTTCCATACGTCCTGCTGAAGAGATTTTCATCGCGTGGAAGTCAAAAACGAAATAATTAATTCTCAGAGGTGGAAATTTGCCAAGTTAATTTGCGAACGAAATTTTATCTGGCGGGTCTGTGCGTGTGTGTGCAGTGATTGACGACCCAGGCTGAGATCATCAAACAATAGACTCGCAAACCCAAGTGTGGGAACCCTCCTGATTGGAACTTGCCAGCACGATACAAGCAAAAACAAAGGGGAGGTTTTATTGCTCAGGGCCGATGATGGCTGCTGCAATTAGTTCACCTCCGTCGTTTTATCTTTGCTGCCATCATCCACCACGATCAGCTCGTACGAGAACTTCCCATCGCGTTTCTGCGCGACAGAAAATGTAACACGCGGAGACAGACGATGCCTGTTAAATGCACACACGGAGACAAAGATCACCCCCACCACCCCCCGCGCCGTCTCCTTGTATCGCCTAAAACACACTCCTGTTGCAAGTAGCACCAACTGAGGCTGGCACGGCACACGAGGGGGCAGAGGGGCTCCACATGACGCCCGGCCGCCGCCGACGGTTTTACACGCCGGGGCAGGTACCCATTTAAGGTGGAGTTGACCTCACAGGAGGTCAAAAGACCACTTCAGATATCACTTGCCAGTGATGTTAGCTGTGGCCGGGAATTGAACTCAGGTTTGCCGTGACATACCTCCCAAGGCACTCCTTTTGTTATTATGACCGGAACGGTTAGAGTGCTATGGCCACCACCACGACACATTGCCTTTTGACTCCGCATTGCTGTTTTTACTCCGCCGCGGCAGCGAGATGTTGACTACCTCCCCGGGTATGCAGGAGGTCGTGGCTTCGATCCCGACCCTGGCGCGTGTATATTTGGAGTTTGCGTGTTCTCCCCGTGGTCACGTTGGATTTCTCTCCGGGTCCTCTGGTTTTTTTTTCCCTCCACATTTAGAAACGTGCGTTTACAGTATTTGACTGCTCTACATTTCCACACAATGAGCCACTTCGGTGAGCAACCATTTGTGACCAGGTCGTTTCTGAAAGAGAGCTATGTAGCTCATTGGGTTTTACCTGGCAGTTTATTTACACACTGCACCAGCTACTCATTTGAGGCAGAGTTCACTTACACACCACACAACATACACACCATGCACACACAGGCCTACGGTTCACTTGTGCATATGCACAAACCACAAATTGAGAACAGCCCTCTTCTTGTTATTTTGCACTCAAAGGAATAACAGTGACGCAAACGCCACTCCCTTTTCCACACAGTTGATCTCGCCAATCCGTAACGAACGTTTGTCACACAGCAATGGGTTTACATTAGAGCTGGCTTATCCAATTATTTAAGTAATGGATCATCGGTTTGATTACTCTCGACCGATCAGACATCACGAAAATAGTCGGGGGGGGGGGGGGGGGAAACGTCTCTTACCTCTGTTCCGACATGTGCCGCTGGATGGGAGGTAATGGGGGAGGGGAGGGGGGTCTTGATGACCTCATTGGCATCATCACAATGGTCACGCTGGGCGTACATTTAAGGGGGATTCCTGCCTTCGGGATGCAGGATGTGGGGGCGGGCCGCCATTTAATAGGAGCTCGAGTAATCGACCACGAGAAAAGTAGTCGATGACAATCTTTAACCGATCCATGGACGAGTCATTCCAGCTCTAGTTTCACAATGTGCTGAGCGGGCAATGTGTGTTGTATGTATGTTCAACTTCTTTCGCGCAGTACGTAGCCAACTGTGCAGTTTTAAAGAAGTGAGTTTTCAAACTAGATTTAAAAGTGCGCAGCTCCAGTGGCTTCCAAATATCGGAAGGGAGTTCCAGACGGCCGCAGAAGCGCGTCTGAAGCGCGCGAGACGCCTTTGTTCGATGGCTAGCCAAAGGCCGCTGGTGCGAGGCTGACCGGAGCTCGCGCGACGGTAAGGCAACGCGCCAGCTTTATTTACAGGATGACAATTTGCCACCGATGAGGAGGTTTACAAATATAACTGGGGCAACACACGAAGAACAGTCGTCACAGTTCGGAGAATCCACGCTTTGTCGTGGCCTACAAGCTCATGTGGGGGCAAGGTGGCGTGTGGCTCATGGTAAGAGATGGGCTGACAAGCCACTCCCTTTTCCGTTGTCATCAAGGCCACGGCAGAAGGGGAGGGGGGCGGTTGACTCATCGCATCTGGTTTCTGACGCACGTGGCTTGGCAAGAAAAACACACAGCCAGATGCTAACCCCCCCCGCCCGCCCGCCACCTCCTTGCTGGCGAGGGGTGCGTGAAAACAAGTGGATGATAACGGCAGAGCTCACTCGCCTACGCAGACGCGCACGCACGCACGCACACACACAAGGCCAGCACGTGTAATCGCGCTGATACCACAGTGTGCCAGATTTTAACAAGTGTTTTTTTTTTCTTCTTCTGCCATTGAAAGGAAAGATCGTCACATTTCGGCCAACTGGCTTTCTTCAAGAAATAAAGGAGGCTTACACGGAGATAGGAAGGGCGCGAGAGAGGCAGGACTAGAATTGAGCTCAATTTAGTTCCTGAAGGTTCCCAGCACGAGGAGTGAAACGTCCGAAACACTGCGTCCGCCAACGCACCGCACAACCCGAAAACACTTCCGAGAGCTATGCGGCGAACACCTGCCGGATATTATGAGAATATTAAAATCGGTAATCACACACCAGCTTGCTGTCCTTTCAGTTGTGCCATGCGGGCCGCATATATGCACAGCGCCGTGCCAGCAATGGCTCGAAGGTTTGGTGTTACATGTTGTTTGAGTCGTTTATTGTGAAAATTCGGTCACAGCTCCTATGAGATCACTGTTACATTGCTTTTACGGCTTTATTTTGGTGATTTCGAAAACGTTTTTTGGTTTGGCCATGTTTGTTTGTTGTAGTGCGGAGTTAGACTGATGGCCTTAATCTAAGTTGTCTTGTGGTTGTTGTTGTTGTTGTTTGACTTGCATCCCACTGGGATTTTTGCACACAGCGTTGGTGTACGGTGCTTTGTCAGGAATATTTTGATGTTTTTTTCCTGGATTTTCTGTTTGCACAGTCACATAATCACTTTAAGATGTTTTCTTGTTCGTGTTTTTGTTTTTTGTTTGTTGCGGTTGCACCCGATTCAAGAGCCGAATGGCTCACAGGGCTATACCAACATAAATGAAACTGAAAAGGAAAAAAATGAAATGTCGACGTATTACGCTCGCAGATGCCCTTCCCCCAACATCCTCACGCCTGCCCCCTTCCCTCCCCTCCACCCGACCTTCCCTTCCCCTAAGAGCTGGCCCTTGCATCAATAATTCAGGACGTGGAGTAACGGAGGAGTGAGCGCAGGGATGAGTGGGTGGCTGCGAGAGAGTAGGGGAGGCGGAGGGGGCATGGAATGGATGGCGAGGAACTGGACTGGGTAATGGATAACACCAAGGTGGTTGAGTGGTGCCGTCTGCAGAGGACACCACAGAGGGATTGGGCAGAGGGGAGAATGGTAGAAGCAATGAAACGGGGTTTTAGGGAGAGTGAAAACAAATTGATGTGCTGGGCCACAGCATCAAATCTGTAAATGATGAGAAAAGCTACGGGCATCAGAAACGTAACCGCAGGCTTGTAACAAACAAAGAGACAACCACACAACGGTGCGCAGCACTGCACGTACTGTGTAAAGCTCTCGGCCTTATCCAGACCACCGGCTCAACAGAACTCAACGTGTGGCCAATGAAGTCACAAAACATCTTCATTTTATTAGGCAAGAGCCCTCATCAGGAATATGTATAATTGTTTTGGCATATTTTCACGTGTGTACGCTACGATTTTGATATTTTATTCTACGTGTTTTTGTATTGCTCGGTTCTGCATCGCTCCAGTTGTCTGCTAGACTCAGGCCTCCCTTGGCAACGCGACGGTTGAATCTCAATAGGCTCTCCTTACCCGGTTACAAATAAAGACCGCGGGCGATTGATTTCGTGCAGATGTCGTCACCGCCGCAGGGACAAACCTGGGCCAGACCGGATGGCGTGAATTTGGCACCAGTGATGCGTGCGTCGCAACACTCCGCTAAGCCGTGGCCTCGGCGATAACCGACAACAAAGCTGGCCAAGCTTCTTACTGTGCTCGACACCACCCACAACCACCGCCTTTCGTCAAGGATGCGGTGGGGGGCGTTATTAATTATTAATTTACATCCGACACTTCTTTTATTCCCTCTTCCCCTACCCTGAAGGCACGGCGTTTCAGGACGTGCCTCCCTGCGAGGTGTGTTCTGGGTGGGGCGACGCAGGGGAGGTGTTGGATCTGGAGGGGGGGCGGGGTGGGGTAGATGGGGGTCGGGGGGTCCTAAAGGAGGGAGGCAATGGCAGGATTAGCGATACGAGAGGAAGCTTACATCACGGTTTTGGGATCAATTAGCGTCGGGTTTTTTTTATGTTGGCAACAGCTGCGAGAGGTGGTTTTACTCGGGGAAGAGGGCACGGGGACACCGAGAGAGGCGAGAGAGGCAAGAGAGGACGGGCTGGGGGGGCATATTCCTCAAGAGAGCCCGACTGTAGGAGAATGTTTCTTAGAAAAAAAAACAATTAAACATTGAGACTCCTTTGCCAATTCACTGCTGAATGAAGGCATTCCCCACAACATGTCAGCCATAAGGGGGGGGGGGGTATTGTTGAACCATACTTCACCATGCTGGTCAGTGCGGGTGCGGCGAAGGGTGGGGCCGGGCAGGGGCAGTTCACATGTCGCTCGTCAACTGTTATCCGCGACGGGGGATCGAACTCAGATTGACAGGTTCGTCACGCAGTGTGCTAACCACTGCGCCGCTCACCACTCCATCAACCTGTATGGATCCATAACGCAAACACGGAGCGGGGTGCATGAGACGCGGCTGCTTGCGTTCTGAACACACAGCGAGTAGTCCTTCGTCGTCTGGATGTGGGGGGCACATGGCCACGAACCAGCACCGCCGAGGCACGGTTGACAGACGCCATGCGGTTCATTCTGGGCATGACGATTGCCCTGGGCCTGCTGAAATTTACAAGATGTTTTCATTACGCCTGTGCAGATGTTGTACTACCCCCTCACCTGCATGGGGTTTCTCTGGGCATGCCTGTGTACTCTACCCCAAGTGGCAATCGCGTCCCGAGACTCTTTAATAAACGCCGATTGCAGGTCACAAAAGTGACGTGTCGCCTTGGTAGACCACGGGAACTTAAACGACAAATGAATAAAAAGCCCACAGGGTGGGTTTTTTTTGCGTCAAAAAACGAAAATGCAATAATTTGGTCCATGGACTAAAGGATGCTGCCGTGGGTGTGCAATGGTTAGCCCACTGGACTTGCAATCCAGAGGTCGCCGGTTCG